AGTGCCTAGCCTATTTATCACTTTATTATTTTCTCTAATGTTTCAACTACTGATAGAGTTGAATAACTCTCAATACAGACTGCATTTCTCTCTTTTGTTGATTGTAAAGATACAATTGAAAAACCTAATAAAAAACCCTAGCGTAAAGAGAAAGGTGAACCCTAACTTTGACTATCTCCATAATCTTTTTATGTTTTTGTTCCCCCACAATATTTCCAACACAAAAAATCATCTATTTGTTTATAAACTGAAGTTAATAAAGAGATTACTCTTTTTTTCTTCTTCACAACTCTATGGATATCCACACACAATTTAATTAGGCATTTACATAGTTAAGGGATAAGAAGCTTGTGCCCTTTCTCGATGTAGTTTTCACCACTCCATATAAGGGCACGATTTCATCAATGGTAAATTCTCTTAATTGATTTGTAGTTGTAAAAATCCAATATTTGTTGATTATATAAATATCAATAGGACTTTTGGCTTTACTTTTTCCGAAGCCGATATTTGAAGATACAACCCCAAGTCTTTGTATAACATCATTCCAATAAGCTCTGAACAAGTGATTTCGTATGTCAAAAACTCAAAAGAGTATTTGGATTTGGAATTCAGTGTGCTCAAAACGAGCCACCATCGTGCAATAATAAGTCAATGATCAAATCTCACGCCGATTAAGAGTTTGAGCTATTCCTTTTAATAATATTAACTTGTTAAGATGAAATATCCGATTCTTAATATTAATCCTCTTATTATGTTATTTTGGATGTCTCTTTTTCATTTTACAACGTGGAGTATTTCTTACCACAATTCCTAGCAAGAAATTACGAATTTTAATATTCAATATTAACCTTCATGTTAGGGCATGGACGGCAAGGATTTTGCATATAAACTCTAAATCAACTAAATTGTTTGCTAGCATATATAATTGCGACCTAGTTATCTATTATATAGTTTGTCGACTGTCACATACTTAAAAAGCGTGTTTTTTGCTGGTTTAGTTTTGGGCCAGGATGATTTGTTATGCAACTTTATGAGATGTTTGTTTTGGTTATAAATAAAATTGATATTAAAACATATATATATTTAAATAAATAATATATTTACCCTTATAAAATAATTAGATCAAATAGCGAGTAAATGGATACACAAAACGAGTTTAATAAATATAATTCATGACCCTCCCCACTTTTGACATATTTTTAGGTATATTTCTCAATGGACAAGTAGGTTCTTGAAATTGTTTTGAAGAATTCGTAACAAGCTATGCAACATCTATTTCAAAATGAAAAATCTTAAATGGTGGACTTAATTAAATAGCTACCAAATATGGTTACATAGATTAGATTTAATAATTAATTCTACTTCTTTCTCATTAAATCAAAAGTCAACTTAAATAAAATTTTATTCAATGAAAATTGAAACTCGTCAAATTTTAATGGTTAAATATAAAAATATGATGAATTTGGGTCTTTTTCCTCTATCGTCAAAATCCTTTTAAGAACGAAAAATTACAAACCCTTGATTGATTAATCCTCGATGTGACCTTGATGACAGGTTAAAACAAAATAAACGAAAAGAGTGATATTGTTAATTCGTTGATCAAGTATTTTCGATTTTAAGAAGTATCATAATTATCTTATAAGAAGGGTTTCCATTTCTTGAAATAACCAATTTGAGAAGCCCTTGATTCCAACAAATTATTCAACATGAATGGATGAAAAACGAATTCATTATTTTACCTTGTAACAAACAACATTTTTAAACATTTTATCTTGACATGCCACTCCCAAGTAAAACTTTATATGTCCCAAACAAGCCCTAAGATTATTAAATCTAAAGTTATGTAACATCAAGATAGTACGTAGGGCAATGGTAATTTAAACTTAATGTGGCAATAGTACTGCCAATTTGTTGGGTTGAAGAAATTGAGTTCATGGAAATTTGTGAGAGAATGGTTGGCCATGCAAGTAGGGGGCCAGAGAGGATATCTGCTCATTTGGTGGCGGCCCCTCTTTCCAAACGTGGGAAATACCATCTGGATTGAAAAATGTCGACTGGTTTATTTGTCTACCATTTATAGGTAATCATAACGTTTAATTTTTCAATTAAGCTACACTAATCGAAAATGATTGACATGCAACCTGACCGGACACTCACAATAGGAGGGGCCCACCTTTTTTTTTGAAGTTTTTAATGCACGTGGGTCTTTCACGCAATGTGAATGTAGGTCAATGTTTCTGTCATATATTTTCTATCAACTTAGATTAATTCTTAATTTTTATGAATAACCGACTTAAAAGTGAGATAAGAAATATTTTAAAATAAGTCGCTCTTTTTGTGCGTAAAAGTGAAAAAAAAATGAAAAAAGAAAGAAACATATTCAACTTTTTTAAAAACGAAAAGTAATCATAACACTTAATTATTGGGGACCTGACATGACTAAAAAGTGAGATAAGAAATATTTTAAGGTAAGTCACTATTTTTGTGCGTAAAAATGAAAAAAAAAGGTGAAAAAGGAAAGAAACATGAATAACTTTTTTGAAAAAGAAAAGTAATTTAATACTGCCATGCAAATTTGGCCAATAATAGCTAATTTATAAGAAGTGGGTCTTATACAATACAATATGATGCGTGGATCTACCTACATCTTAGTGAAAAATAAAGGCATGGATTCCTCATTTATTTTATTTATTTATACAATGTGGATCCCATCATTGTTTATTTTGAACCACAAAACACGTAGGGACCAACTCTTATAAGTTAATTACTTGAATTACCAAACCAATTTCAGCCTAAATTTAGTTAAATGCAAATCACAAGACGTGCTTCCATCATTCTTTATTTTGAACCACAAATATACATAAGACCCATATTTTATAAATAGATTACTTGAATTGCAAACAACTTGACTAAGATTAGGAACTACTCTGGTTTGGCCAACCAATTTCAGCCTAAATTTAGTTAAATGCAAATTATGAAAAGATGGTTGCACAATAAATTCTTAAAGAATTCATAATTTAAACAAGGGAAAATCATAGCAGCGGTTCTTAACATTTTTATTTTTTTGCAAACTTTATTCAAACCTTTATTTTGTACCGACAAAGGTTCTAACCTTTCATAAATATGCATTTAAAGTCCATCTGGAAGGAAATCATCCAAAACACCATCAGTTAATCGGAAAAATTAAGGAATCAACATCCAATAAAACTGTCCAAAAAGGTATCAATATCCAATAAAATCGTCGGATAGCAGATAGTTCAAGAGATTTTTTCGATCAATTAACGGTGTTTTGGACGATTATCATACAGATTGATCTCAGATGCATATTTATAAAAGGTTAGAGGCTTTCGCTGACACAAAATGAAGGTTAGAGTAAGGTCTGAAAAAAACGAAAATGTTGGAAACTACTGCTGCAATTTTCCCTTTAAACAATTATGACCAAATAAGAAAGAATCATTAACAAGTATGTAACAACTCACGATAAAGTTGATAACGTTGAACCAAATTACATCTAACACCATATTTAATTGTTTAGCTGCAATTTTTGAAAAATTTGAATTTGAACATTCATATTTAAATTTAAAATGTTATGTATAATAAAAAATTATTAGTTATATTTATCTTTTTTACACGTGTGTCTCCTGTAAAATTAATTTATTATTAAATAAAGACATGAATTATGAAATAAACAAAAAATATATATACTAAACACAAAATAAGAAATACGGCGGCCGCAATTCAGTCGGCCGCATGGGCCAGAACTACGTGCAATTTAAGCAGTTTTTACTTAAAAAACGAAAATAGAGAATTTAAAATCGATTTTCGTGAAGTCAAACCATCACTCACAGTTGTGGGCCGTTACTACTGTTTTTGTACAACAAAAAGCAAGATTTTAGGGGTTTTGACTTTTTTGTATACCCCTTTTCTCTTGCCACTCAATCTGTATAGTTGTTCAAATTTTGGCAGATGAACCCTCAACATCAACAATGCTTGACTTGTGGATTCAAAGGGGAAAAAAAAAAATTGATATTATTATGTTTTTTAGAATTGGACGATGTTATATAAACCGAATTTTAATTTGATAAGCATGTTTCGTGACCTCAAATCTACATAAACACATCTCATTTTTATGGTAAGTGTAGATACAACAATGCATTCATCGACGTCTTCTCATTTTCTAAGAGAATTTTGTTAGATTGTGGAGTTTAATTATTGACGATCTATGGGTTAATATGCAAATCAATCTAAAAAAAAAAAAAAAGGCAAATTTAGGAATTTCATACATATAATATCTGTATTAGCCAAATTTGTTTTGTAAGCCGTCATTAAAGTTTTGTATGACCATAAAAAAGAGAGGTTAGACAAGATAAAACGTGCAATTTTCTCTTATAAACTTTTTAAGTCATAATGAATTATCGCAGTGGGAAAAGATGACATAGTTTCATATTAAAACAAATCTTTATAAAATTTTATGTGTTCTTGTATTTATTTATTTCTTTATTATTTTTTTACAATTTTATTGCTTTTGTGGATAGAATTAGAATTTCACATTCTCAAGAGATATTAAAGGAACAACAAATTTGAGACAACACAATCCATATTTATTTCACAGTATTACATTGAATCTAACAACCAATCGATGTCATGAAACATGTGTTAAAGAAGTTCATATACCTTTACATGCACTTATTTTAATTAACAAGAATGCAAATAAGGGATACAATAATATTTTAATTTTTGTAATAACTTAACCGTCCAGCTTAGATTTAAGTTAATGAAGGTTTCCAAATCAAATAGCTTCATACTTTCATTGTGATAGGACATTGAAGTCAATGAAGATTACATTATAGTTTTGAAAAGAAATGCCAATAAACGTGAGAGTAGATTTGCATTAAGAAGAAAAATCATTAACTCACAATAAATTATTTTTGAAAGCGAATTAAATAATATAAAGAATAAAGTGAACTTACCATCATTTAGGAAAATGTCGTTTAAGAGAAATTATAACTCTATAAATGGACACCTCCATTTTCTCATTATATTCACATACTCATCTCCGTCCACATGTAACTCCATTTCTTGTTCCTTTTGGATCGAAAATGTTGCGCATCGAGTTCTTCGCTTCGATTCTCTTGTGCATAATTCTTCCTTTTTTGTTCTTGATCTTGGCCAAATTGAAAACCAGATTAAATAATATCTCCTCTTCCTCCAATTCAACAAAGCTTCCAAAAGTATACCCTATTTTTGGTTCAATCTTCACAATCTTGAAAAACAAGAGTAGGCGAGTCCAATGGACATCGGAAATGGTATTATCTACTCCCAACCTGACGTTTACTCTCCACCGCCCTTTTGGCTACCGGCAAATGTTCACGGCCAATGCCGCCAATGTCCAGCATATGCTCAAAAACAACTTCCCTAACTATCGTAAAGGGGATGTTTTTCGAAAAACATTAAAAGATTTTCTTGGAGATGGCATATTCAATGCTGATGGCGATAATTGGAGGTTTCAACGACAAGTTTCGAGCCATGAATTCAACACCAGATCTCTGCGTAATTTCGTGGAAACCGTAGTTGATTCTGAATTATCCGATCGCCTAATCCCGGTTCTAAAAAATGCAGCAGCTAACAAAATTGTGATTGATTTTCAAGATATACTTCAGAGATTTGCCTTTGATAACATCTGCAAGATTGCTTTTGGATACGATCCTGCATATTTGTTACCATCTCTTCCCCAGGCAAGATTTGCTGTTGCATTTGAAAGTGCTCTAACACTCATCAGTGAAAGATTCAACTCAAATATCCCTATTATATGGAAAATCAAAAGGGCTCTCAACATAGGCTCTGAAAAGCGATTGAAGATTGTAGCAAACGAAGTTCGAGAATTTGCGAAATCAATAATGAAAGAGAAGAAACAAGAACTTGATGAGAGTACTTCAAAAGAATCTGTTGATCTTCTGTCCAGATTCTTGAGTTCTGGTCATTCTGATGAAGATTTTGTTACTGATATAGTGATAAGTTTTATTCTGGCTGGCCGTGACACTACTTCTGCTGCATTAACATGGTTTTTCTGGTTGCTTTACAATAATGCAGAAGTGGAAAATGAGATCGTGGAAGAGATTAAACGGACATCAGAAACAACAGTTTATGAGGAAGTGAAGGACTTGGTTTATACACATGCTTCACTTTGTGAAAGCATGAGATTATATCCACCAGTCCCTGTGGACACAAAATCAGCTGTGAATCGTGATGTTTTACCAGATGGGACTGTGGTCGAGAAGGGTACAAGAATAAGTTATCATCCCTACGCTATGGGGAGGGTTGAGAAAGTGTGGGGGCCAGACTGGGAGGAGTTCCGACCCCAGCGGTGGCTGGAGGACGCAGTGGAGGAATCTGCCAGAAAGTGGAGCTTTGTGGGCAAGGATAACTTTACATACCCGGTGTTTCAGGCCGGGCCAAGAATTTGTTTGGGGAAGGACATGGCTTTCTTGCAAATGAAGAGGGTTGTTGCCGGTGTCTTGAGGCGTTTCAGGGTGGTACCGGTGGCGGAGAAAGGCAGTGAGCCGATATATATATCGGATTTCACTTCAAAAATGAAGGGAGGTTTTCCTGTGAGAGTTGAAGAGAGGGACGTTGATCTTCTCCAAAACTAGTTGTTCAATTATTTCGAGTATGTTTGGCTTTGCTTCTTTTGTAGAAGAAGATGCGTATTTCATCAGTCTCACTGAATAAGCCGAAAAAGAAGCTAAAATGCCAGAAGTGCGAGTTTTTTAAGCTAAACCAAACATGTTAGAAGTGTGATGTTTTCTTGTCTGAATTTTAATTTTTATATGGGATTACATTGTACTTTCGTATGAACATCCATATTCAGATTATCTATTCGTCATTAATTGCAAGTTATTAGAAAATATATCCTTCTCCTAACATGTAAATCAGACTATGTACTCATAATTAATTGCAAGTTATTTTTATAAAATTGATGTAAAAAAAAAAAAATTAAAAACTTTTGTACGCAAAAATTGGAACCCAAAGTCAAAGTTCTAGATTATTCGTTGAAGAAAAATTTTGTTGCCTTGTTATAGTATAAAGGGTAATTAGCATAAAACGTCCATACATTTCGATGTTTTTGTGAAAAACGTTCCTACCTTTCGTTCTTTAGCGGATTACACCATAACCTTTACCTTTTTTTGCACAAAACGTCCTTCTATTAACTCCTCGTTAAAATATTCTGTTAAATCAAAAGGTAATTAACACAAAAGGTCCCTACCTTTCGATATTATTGTGTACAACGTCCATACCTTTCTTTTTTTTGGTATAATTAGTACAAAAGGTCCCTACATTTCAATATTATTGTACAAAACGTCCCCACCTTTCATTTTTTAGCATTCTCACTCTTACCTTTCACATTTCATAGCGAAAAAGGTCATTCTCATCCAATTTTTCAATAAAATGATGATTTTACCCTCCTATTCAAATAAAATAAAAAGAAAAGATGAATTACCAACTATAACCATAATCCTTAAATTTTTAAAAAATTACAAAGAAATAATGAATTCCCAATTACAACGACTTTCACAACCTATCAAACTGCCAACTATAAATCAACATAACACCACTTTTCTGACCCCATGCCCACAGGGCTCCACCACCGTAAATGTTGTTGTTTCGGACAGATTGGTGACCAATACTATGGAGGAGGATATTGGGGAAAGTGAGGCGAGGCTGGTGGTGGTGGAGTCCGATAGGTATTGTGGTCGAAATGTGGTGCTATATAGATCTATAGGTGGTGGCTTGGTGGGATTATGAAAGTGGCGGTAATGGAGAATTTTTAGGATTTACCTGTAATGTTTTGAAATATTGAGGACTATGATTGCAATTAATTATTTATTTTTCTTTTCTTTTCTTTTCTTTTTGTTTTATTTGAATATGAGGGTAAAATCATCATTTTATTGAAAAAGGGATGAAAAGAAAGTTTTGCTCAATGAAAGGTGAAAAGTAGGGGTGAAAATGCTAAAAATGATAGGTAGGGATATTTTGCACAATAACATTGAAAGGTAGGGACCTCTTGAGTTAATTATGCTAAAAATGAAAGGTATGGACGTTTTGCACAATAATATTGAAAGGTAAGGACCTTTTGTGCTAATTACCTTTTGATTTAATGGAACATTTTAACAGCTAGTTGACAGAATGACGTTTTGCGCAAAAAAAAGTATAGGTGAGGTGTAATCCGCCAAAAAACGAAAGGTATGAACGTTTTCCACAAAAATAACGAAAGGTGGGGACGTTTTATGTTAATTACCCAAAATAAAATTAGAGTTCTGCTTTCATTGAGGACGAATCCTAATTGAAGATGAATACATGATTGACGATCATAAGCCTATGAAAACTAAGGGTCCATTTGATTGGAGTGAATTCCATGGAAAATGTCACATCCAAGGAATTCGTTTCCACTTTGATTGTTTGATATGAAAGTGAAAATAGAGTTCGAATTTCAAGGTACAAACACTTAAAACATGTTTTTGGTCAATTCCATTGGAAAATGCATTCATATGGTTTTGATGATTTTTTCTTTTCTAACTTACATGAAATTGGTTTGTATTTTTCATCTTTACAATCAAACAGATCCTAAGTTTTGCTTTGAGGTGCTTCCTACGTCAATTGAGTAACTTAGGGACAATTTGACAATGCTTTTGAAAAGTCAAAATTTGTTATAAAGATTAAGAAACTGTTTCCGAACATAGTTGGATTATTTTGTTTTGTCACGTTAGAACAAAGTTGGCGTAAGATAGTGTTGTCTATTGATGTAGTTCAAAAGTCAATCAAATGAGTGTAGAATGGAAAAACAAAAACTGGAGGCCAATAAATGGCCAATGTGACTGCATAGGCCAAATAGGCTTGTGGTCACATGTCAAATTGATGCAGCCGCATAGAAAAATATCATAGTCGTTAATGGTTGTTGTTATTTGAATTTTGGTGGTTTTTCCTTTGCTTTTGGCATCAATTCGTAGAGATTCGTTGAGGCCTTTATATATGATTGATGTTCATTACAATACACAAGAAATATCAATATTGTGATCATAATTTCGTTCCATAAAAGAGCAAAAGATTTATCTTTATCATATTCAAAAACCTTATTTTGTGTTCTCGAGTTTTGAAGGATTATACCAAGTGCTTAAGTGTTAAATCCTTGATGATGCTTGACTAATCCTGCAAACTATTTGTGAAAATCCTGTAAGCACTAAATTTCAATCTGAGAGAGGTCAAATATCATTTGAGGATAACGATTATGTGTTCGGGCCTTCTTCATCTTTATTTTTCATCTTCGCATTATTGTTCTTAATTTCATAGTTTTATTCTTTATTTCTTCTCCATTCTTCTTTGTGCAAATATTTTTTCTAACAATTTCAAACGATAAGTTACAATGGAGAATGATAGCACTATGACGACGATCAAGTTAACGATTCAAGACTTTGTTTGTTTGGATTGCCTTGATGGCACCAACTTCAAGAGATGGCAAAACAAATTAAAATTTCTACTCACGGTGTTGAAGATATTTTACACACTTGATCAGAAATTGGCACCACTTCTGAAACCAACAAATGGAGAAACGAATGCCAAAAGATAAAAGCGCTAAGAAGATGAACTTATATGCCTTGGCCATATTCTCAAGGCTCTATCAGATAGGTTGTATGATCTCTACACCAATACATCATGGGCAAAGAAAATCCAGAATACTTTGAAAAGTAAGTACAAAGTCGAAGAAGAAGGTACAAAAAAAATTTTAATTTCAGAATACTTTGATTTTAAATTTCTTGAGAATATTCCCCTTCTTCCCCAAATTCATGAATTACAAGTGCTTGTCAACAAGTTAAAGGCGGTCAAAATTGAGATTCCTGAAATTTTCTAAGTAGAAGTAATTATTGCAAAACTTCTCGGGACTTGAAAAAGATATCGAAAGAAAATCATGCATATTTCAAAAACCATTCTTTGAAATAATTACATAAACATCTTTGAATAGAGGAAAAATCTAGCGCAAAAGATAAGAACAACATTTCTTATGAAGGGATTTCAAATACCAATGCCGCGGAGAAGACCGAGCCTTCTAATAAATCCAACAAGAGAAAGCCTTTAAGGAACTCTAACAAGTTCAAGAAGAAGTGAAAAACCTCGACATTATGCAAATGAATGTCGACACTAGGAAAGAAACAACTCAGGAAAAGTGAACTTCATTGAGGAAGATAACATTGTGGCTATTGTGAATGAGATCAATGTTATCAAGGGAAAGGTTCCAGGTTGGTAGTATGATATATGTGCGATCGTACATGTATTATATGATAAATTACTGTTCCAAACATATTGTAAAGTTGATGGAGATCAAGAGATTCAAATATGTAACAAAATTCTAGATTATTCATTGAAGAAAAATTAGATACAAAAATTACGTCGCATTGTTACAGTACAAAATAGAGTTTTACTTTCATTGAGGATGAATCCTAATTGAAGATGAATACAAATGACGATTGACGATAATAAGCTTGTGAAAACTAAGTTTTGCTTTAAGATGCTTCCTGCCTCAATTGAGAAACTTGGGACAATTTGACAATGCTTTTAAAAAGATAGAATTTGTTATAGAGATTAAGAAACTATTTCTAAACATAGTTGGGATTATTTTGTTTTGTGAGGTTAGAACAAATTTGGCGTAAGTTAGTTTTTTCATGAAACTCTTCTACAAGAAAGAAAAACAAATGCAGTAGGATTATGCCCTCACCAAACAAAAGAGAATCAGAGTTTTTAGTGAAGACATAATTCTTGGTTAAAAATTATAAAGATAATTAGGTAAGGTTTAATGAAATAAGAAAATCAAATATTGACTAATTCTTTTCTTATTGTGCTAAGATTTCCTTTCAACATTATGTAATTATTTTCTTATACTGTTGTGCAATTTATCTTATGCCAAAGAGTCTTAAATTAACTAAATCTTTGATTGTTTGACACTTAATGAAATTTAAAAATATTTACTAGCACATCTATGCTCTACGTTTTTATCTCATCTTCTTATTCTCCATTCATTAATTTAAAGATTAATAGTAAGGAGAGTTGCTTCAATTCCTACTTTAATATTATTGAAGCTTTGTTGTCGAATCTTTAAAATTTGATTACTCCTATCTATTTAGCACCTGTTTGTTGGAAATTAAAATCAGAATTTTAATATATTTTGATAAAACTTTATAAAATATGTAGTTAAAAAGTTTGGGTCCCATGAAATATATTGGATCAAAATCTCATCAATCAAATAGCTTCTCTACTTACATTTTTTGACAAATCATCATTATATAAAATATTTTGTGAATAGTTATGTACAAAAAGCATTTTCCTAAAATTAATTGTTGACTTTAAATTTTAATCTCTACCAAACATGAACTTAGTCATCTATTTATGTGTTCAAGAATTGAAGTTCTCGAATTTGTTAGACCACCTCCATTTACTTGTAGCTGTAAAGAGCTCTCAGAATTTAGATGTTAACAACGAACAGTTTTTGGAATATAGATGTTGACAACAAACAAATCCACGAAAAGGAAACAAAGGAGTTGTGAAATATTAAAGATACGGGTAAACTCTGTAAACCCAAAACAGTTAGTTAGTTTTTTGTGTTTTTAGTGAATTTTGCAAGATCTGGTTTCACTACGTTCAATGTTTGATAAAGTTCATATTTCTATTTAAATTGTTCAAACATATTTTCTATTCACGCCTTTCTAAAATCTACAAATTATACTTATTATCTACCAATCTACAAAATTTATAAGCATTTTAAATCATTATTTAGCACTAAATCTAAAAAATTGTACACTTGATTACGGTTGCATTATGGGATTAAATTCCTTGATTTTGACATTATGGTTAAAAATATTT